GGACTGATAAAGGATTAAACAGAAAAGGGGAAGCACAGTAGATCATTGAAGGTCGCAGTGCAAGGGCCGGATTATTATGGCCAACCCCTCATACATCCATTCATTCATTTCTTTCAGTCACAATTTGACGACCCGTAACAGTTGCTGGCTGAGCGCTTTGGCCTTCAGATACAAAATAGACATTGATAGACACGATATACGTTTACATTACAATAATGGACATATAAGTTATTATGCAATTACAAACATACATTCCATTCTCCTCCCATATTCGTTTTGTGGTCTTCCGTTGTATTAGTTATCAGCCGCACGTTATTCTGAATGATGATGTAACGCATTTGATCAATGCGTTGCCAGGCAACAGCTCTGTAAACACGGTCGAACACGCATCAACAGAGGAAGCTGTAGTTACTAAAGGATTCTGACGATGGTGTATAACACACTGATATGTTGGGTTTTTGGACTTTATCCATCGTCCTGGTTTTTAAGATAACAAATAAAAACACGACGTTTCAGAAACTGGATCTGTTTCCGTCCTCAGGTGAAGGAAAACACCTATTCAGTTGGGTCCCTTAGAAAGAGCTAGCCTCAATCACTGGACAAACCGATGTCACAAAACATGAAGATTATAAAAACCTGAGACCAGGCTAAGTCCATGAGAGCTAATAAGAAAAATATTCATAACAAATTGTAGCAAACACTTACAAGCGTGGAACCAGGATAGATAGATCTGTAGAAATTTATGCCACGAAACTAAACTCATAACCAGGTCCATGACCCCACGGCATGGAATAGAAAGAAGAACTAGTAACAAAAACTAATAGTGTTTAACTAGCGTCAACAGTGGAGTAAATCACGCCTATCTAATTTAGAACTTAATAGAAATGGATAAAGCATATATCACGTCATTCTATGTGAATTGGTGACTTCATTGCTGATAATGGGGATCCAAATGGGAGAAAAGTCCAAACTGGGTTGGCTAATTGGGTTGGCCGAGCATGCCATATGGGCCGCTTCCTTGTATTTCCTATACACATCAGGTGTATAGGTGTATACACATCTTTCTAAGGGACCCAACTGAATGGGTGTTTTCCTTCACCTGAGGACGGAAACAGATCCAGTTTCCGAAACGTCGTGTTTTTATTTGTTATCTTAAAAACCAGGACGATGGATAAAGTCCAAAAACCCAACATATCAGAGGAAGCTGTGTTTTCTACAGATCAGACCGACGCGCCAGTAGACTGGCTGGATAGCGATCATGTGATGTCCCCGTGTGGAGGCCCTGCGAGTCGTAGGAGGCGATGAAAAGGGAAGTCTCAAATCTGAGACAGTAAAATATGGTCGCGAGTTCCAAGGGACTCAGACCCGAGAAAGACTGCATTGGCAAGGACCAGCATCATATACAAAAGGCAGACCCGTCCTCTCGTCAGAGAGGGCGCCCCACAAGAACAAGACCGTAAATGCCAAACAGTAATAAATATCTGGTCATGAGCCCCAGATGGGGCTCGACACCAAGACTTACTGACTGACTGACAGTCAGTCGCAATGTGACTTGGACTTGGATCATGTGATGTGTTTTCTGTAGAGCAGTGTCCATCCGCGTCTATAAAAATGAACAGATTTGCTAAGCTGAGCAGTAAGCGGTAAGCTCGAGGAGTACAGAAGAGTACAGGAGGTCAGCCTGTGAAGGATTAACATGTGATTTGAAGACTTTATGTGTGCTGTAGTGCAGTGGTATTGGGAGTGCGAGATTTAGTGTGACTTTTACAGGTCCTGTGTTATGCATCTGCGAGGACTAGCGGAGATGACTGAAGAGTAACATGGAGTGCTCTGTAGTGTGAGGACTAGCGGAAATAGACTGAAGAGCAGCGTGGAATGCTCTGTAGTGTGAGGACTAGCGGAGATAAACTGAAGAGCAGCGTGGAGTGCTCTGTAGTGTGACGACTAGCGGAGATAGACTGAAGAGCAGCGTGGAGTGCTCTGTAGTGTGAGGACTAGCGGAGATAGACTGAAGAGCAGCGTGGAGTGCTCTGTAGTGTGAGGACTAGCGGAGATAGACTGAAGAGTAGCGTGGAGTGCTCTGTAGTGTGAGGACTAGCGGAGATAGACTGAAGAGTAGCGTGGAGTGCTCTGTAGTGTGAGGACTAGCGGAGATAGACTGAAGAGTAGCGTGGAGTGCTCTGTAGTGTGAGGACTAGCGGAGATAGACTGAAGAGTAGCGTGGAGTGCTCTGTAGTGTGAGGACTAGGGGAGATAGGCTGAAGAGTAGCGTGGAGTGCTCTGTAGTGTGAGGACTAGCGGAGATAGACTGAAGAGCAGCGTGGAGTGCTCTGTAGTGTGAGGACTAGGGGAGATAGGCTGAAGAGTAGCGTGGAGTGCTCTGTAGTGTGAGGACTAGCGGAGATAGTATGAAGAGTAGCGTGGAGTGCTCTGCAGTGTGAGGACTAGCGGAGATAGACTGAAGAGCAGCGTGGAGTGCTCTGTAGTGTGAGGACTAGCGGAGATAGACTGAAGAGTAACGTGGAGTGCTTTGTAGTGTGAAAGTCAGTAACAGCGTTATAATTAACTGTAGTTAACGACCTGTAAGTGGCCAATAAATCCAATTACCAATGCGAACCCCGTCTCCAGTCATCCATAACAAAGCAAAATTGTCCCTGTACTTAACTAATTAAGCACTACGTCATGAAGGCGTATGGGGGAATGGATGTACAGATCCATATTTTCTTGACCTCGGCACTAGTCGGAGGTGAGTGGTCAGCTTCAAGCCCCGGCCGCTTTACTCCCGGGGAAAGATACCCCGATACCAATTGGATAGGAGGCGGTTGAGCCCCAGAGCCGGTCTGGACTACGTGGAGAAAATTCTTGACCCTACCGAGACTCTAACTCCAACCCCTCGGTCATCCAGTCAGTAGCCAGTCGCTATAACGACTGCGCTAGCCCGGCTCATACATGTGATATTATGTAACTCGAAACAGATATATTCCACCTCTAGCAGCAATTCTGACAGGTGACCATGCTCCTTACACGATTTCATAGAATTATACGCCGTCAGTAAAGAAACATTGCCTTCAAGAGTGTATCTTCGATCGACTCACAAATGTAGGATGTAGGAAAGTTATGTATTCTGGGATATATCTCTGTGTAGTCCTTTGAAAGTCAACGAATTTCTTACCATCTGATTCACAGTTTTTTCTTCCTGGCCTTACTTTGTCGACCCGGCAGATGGAGTTGAGATGTTCCTCCGAAACATCGGTTGACTCTCAGCGGCCTACACGGCGTTATTAAATTATAAACATCGCTCTCACTTGCCGCGTGGCAGTTCATCCCGTAACTACGTACTAATGTTGGGACCACAGTCAGGACTTGCAGTCCATTAATAATTATGCCATAGTTTAGTATCGCTTAGCTGGGTGGCATGGCAGTAATTCTTCGGACCTATATTCCGTAGGTGGTGTGTTCGAATCTCAATCGGGTCATTGGTATCCTGACTAATATTTTCTTTGTTTTCCTCAGTCCGGTATAGCTCAGTCGGTACAGCGACGGGCTACTGGCTGGACCACCGGGGGTTAATTCTTGGTAGAAACAACAGATTTTTCTCCACAGCGTCCAGACCGGCTCTGCGGCCAATCCTATCCGGTAGGTACCAGGGGCCCTTTCCACCGGAGGAACATCGGCTGAAGCGTGAAGCTGACCGCTCACCTCCATCTAGTGCCAAGGTCAAGTAGTTGGAGCTATACCTCCACTCCCCCATAACGTCTTTATGGCGTGATGCCGAATGGATTAAGCACAGGAACAAATTTATCATTACCTCCAGAAAATCGTCGGGATTGTGCCTATATTAGGCCACGGCCGCTTCCTTCCATCATCCTACTATGGCGGCTTTACAAAGACCCTTTTCTGGGAAGGGGGTAACGGGAATATCTGCCTAAAAACTTGCGTCTTGACCACTCACCTCCTCCATATTTACTCATCGCGGTTCAGTATTGAGGACAGGACATTTCTTAATAGCTTTAATTTTTAGTATTAATGTTCGGTAAATTATTTTCCGTTTTCTTTCATTTCCAGTTTTCTTCCAAAAAATGCAAGGGGCTGAAGTTGGCTTGGACCAACCGGGGCGAATGTCGTGACGCAATATAATCGGACTACTTTCAGCATCTCGACCTCCGGGGAACCCGTTCACACTTCGTCTGTTCAGCGCTGTGAACCCCTGCTACATATGCCACAGTGTGAGACTCCCCGCACATTTCGGGACGTAACTGTGTCTAGACTTCGCTGCTTGTCTACGGAGGGGCCGGACGAGGGGCACAAGTACAGTAAACTGGCGGGGATTAGTGAAGCAAGAGTTGGCCCCAAAAGACACAGCTTAGAACACAATGAAAAATTTGATGACATAAGTATAAGTAGTGCTGACGAAAATAAATAAGTAAAGCTATCCCTATAACAGGCCGTGGAGGCCCATAGGGTTGTGAGACGTTGAGGTTCCCACATTTTCTAGGCAATCGGCACATACTTGTAGATGGCGGTAAGGTTGTCAGCCCTACGCCCCGGCCGCCCTTTACCCCCAGGGAAATTCCTGGTACTAATATCTGTTAAGAGGCTGAGTCGACCCCAGGGACATATTGCGGCTGAAAGGATTAGGTCAACTGGAAGAAATCCACCTCATCGGGATTCGATCCCGCGACCTTCCGACTTGTTGCATATTGCCTTTACCAACTACGCTACCGCGTGCCCCGACGAAAATAAATAACAAACATAATCTCTGTAGAACCTTTATTAAAAGAGCTATAACGATGCAATACATTTCTGCATCGATAGAAGACTCGGATATTTGTGCTTTCTTTTCAACGTAATAACAATGAAGGTTTGAAGAGGCTGTCTCGAGTTTTGCCTTCCTAAATGCCATGTATGTATTCACCCGCGAAACAGAAGTTTTAATTTTCCGTATTTCGATTCGGATTAACTGTAACCGGTTTGCGATGGGTTTTATGTTTTGATTGTAGGCGCCATTACGCTAGACAACCTGAGCGACAGTTCGCCGAAATGGACGTGACCTGCCATGGAGGAGATATCCGTCGAGTAGCCAGAAGACCGCGCACGGTACCGTACAGTGGTGACCGTGGTGACCGACCAGGAAGCCGCCTCGGTTACAGCGCATCTCTGACCTACTCAAGTCCATCAAGCAGTAACTGCGTTCGGTAAGGGCATTCAAGCCAAGACGTACACAGTCCTTACATTATGCTCTGTCTCAAACATGTTTGAGGTTGCGTCGTCACTCAAGTTACATAAATATGTTTCTGATGTAGTTAATTAGAGTGGGGTGAGGCTGAGTCCACTTGGTACGTCGGCCACTAACTGGCCTACTGTACCGGCCCCAGGTGATAGGTGATGAGTGTGGAGCAGTCGGTGGAATGAAAACTGGCAATGGAGAGAACTGGCCCAGCGCCAATTAGTCCCCCACTTGTCCCTATCCTGAGCCAGATCAATCCAATCCATCCTATCTCTTTAAGATACATTTTAATATTGTTCACCCACCTACGCCTTGGTGTTCCAAGTGGTCTCTTTCCTTCTGTCTTTCCCACCAATATCCTATATGCATTCGTCTTCCCCATTCCTGTTACATGCCCTGCCCACCTCATCCTCCTTGACTTGATCATTCTAATTATACTTATTTGTTACTGTTGTTCCCAAATATCTGAACTGTGCCATGTTTTCAAAACATCTGTTTCCTATCTTTATGTCATGATTCTGCCCTGCATTTTGGTGACGAGACAGCAACATATACTTAGTTTTCTCTGTGTTTACTTCTAGACCAACCTCTTTACTTGCGTCAATTAAAGTTTGCGTGTTTTTTCTTTATGGTATCTATATTATCATCCAGTAGATTCATATCATCAGTACAGATCAACAGCTGATGTGTCCCATTTAAGTTCAGTCCCACCTGATCTCCCTGAACCTTCCTGATGGCATATTCTAAAGCAAAGTTGAAAAAGAGTGGCGATAATGCATCTCCATGTTTTAGACCATTATGGATGGGAAATTTATCAGACAGATGTTTACCTATGCGGCCTTTCTTAACGTTTCGTTTAAACACATTTTAATCAACCGAACTACTTTCATGGGTACCCCAGATTCTATCAGAATATTGTACAACACTTCCCTCCTAAGTGAAGCGTAGGCTTTCTTGAAGTCTATGAATAGCTGATGAACAGATGCTTTTACCAGAAGGATTTATAGCTGACATGCTCAAGCATTAATTTCCTTAACCTCAGACTTTTGAGCATGTGTTTAGTTGAAATCTTGGAAGTCTATGAATAGCTGATGAACAGATACTTTTACCAGAAGGATTTATAGCTGACATGCTCAAGCATTCATTTCCTTAACCTCAGACTTTTGAGCATGTGTTTAGTTGAAATCTTATCCAAAATACAGGGTTAGCCTAAAATAAAAGACATTTTCAAAGTTTACAGAAAGAAGAGTTTTAATAGCATGGCCGAGATACTTGCATGGTTTGAAAAGTACGCCCTGAAGTTTACGTGGGTAAGTTACAAGTGTTCTAGATGTGGCCCTTTTGTAACACGACAAATATCAATGCGACAGTCTAGTTCTTCCCAAACGCTTCTCAGCATGCCCACATCAACAGTCGCAGCAGCTACTGTGATGCGTTCTTTAAGATCGTCCGCTCTTGTGGGGAGGGGATGAAGATAAGCTCTGTCCTTTATTTTCTTGAAGTTCTAAACTTGCACTTGTCGACATTTTGGGCTGCGTGTGTAAGTTTCACGAACACGAGTCGTTTAAACTATTTCCTTTAGGCTAACCTTGTATATTTTAAAAACAGGTGTCCCAGGAAGAAAGATTAATGTTCTGGGAGGCCACAGTATCGGCCATTCTAAGCATAATAGTGTACATGTACATGCGCCCTATTCCGAACGGTTTCCGAGATAGAGCTATTTCACTGTACAGTTCCAAAACTGTTGATAAGAAAGAGATATTGCGTACTGTTTCTAATGCCGGTATTTACTGTTCAAGTGACAAAGTTGGTACAGTTTACCCAGTATAATGCAGTTTCGAAAATTCCACCGTCTACATCAATGCACTTTGCAACTCGTGTGAGGACGTGGCGTGTTACTCGTCTGTACAGTGAAACAGCTGTATCTCGGAAACCGTTCGGAATAGGACACGTTTATATTTATACACATGTGCACCCATAAACTCACGCGAGAGGAAGCGGCATGTATCGGTAATAAGAAACCTGGATAATATTCGTCTGTGTCTGGAAAAAAAAATATTGATTGTTTGATGATATTCGGGTTTGTTCATAAGACAGTTATTCATTGTTCGATAAACTCCACGTATGTTCAGAAGATCATTGTAGATTGCTGAATGCAGAAGCTGGGGATATATGCGCAATGAACCAGTTCTTGTTTAGTTATCTCGAAAACTGTAAGAGTCACATGAAAAGTGACAAATCTAAATTGTGTGTAAATTTTCCCCTACAATTTTTGTTCCAAATAATCTGCACCGCGACACAAATGTATCAAGCTATGTTCGAGATATGTGCAGAAACGCATGTAGGTCTTCATGTCATATGTGAGTAAATACTCGTCATCCAATCTTAAACTCTGGAATATGTCGACAAATTTCAGTAAAGTTCTAAAATAGCAAGAGTAAAGAAAAATTGTCTAGCTGTTTCGAATTCTTTCATGTGTGCAGACGAAAGGACGGCTGAAGCGATTTTAATAGTCGCGCTTAAGTAGTGTCACAAAAAGACGCTCCTGAAAGCTGCGAAACTGGTTTCGGTTGTCATAACAACTCTGGTCCAGCTGCTGAATTTCTTTTGCTGTGGAAACAAAGTTTAAACAGTTTAATCCTTTGAAGACTGAACTTCTTGCCATTAATATATATGTATACACTTCACAGTAAAAGCATTACGCCTCCGTCACAAAGCCCAACCGGTTAATACTGTTTAGGGAAACAGTCGCTGTTTCTTTGTGAGAACCATACGGAACACATAGATACACTTCCAAATGATATATAATCATTCAGTTCATACTTCACAGGAAACACATTACGTCTCCGTTACAAAGCCCAGCCGGTTAATGCTGTTCGGGGAAACAGTCGCTGTTTATTGTGAAACCCATACGAAACACAGATACACTTCCAAATAATATATAAGGATTCAGTCCGTACCTCACAGGAAACACATTACACCTCCGCTACAAAGCCCAACCGGTTGATGCTGTTTGGTGAAACAGTCACTGTTTATTGTGAGAACCACACGGAACACACAGATACACTTCCAAATGATATATAATCATTCAGTTCATACTTCACAGGAAACACATTACGTCTCCGTTACAAAGCCCAGCCGGTTAATGCTGTTCGGGGAAACAGTCGCTGTTTATTGTGAAACCCATACGAAACACAGATACACTTCCAAATAATATATAAGGATTCAGTCCGTACCTCACAGGAAACACATTACACCTCCGCTACAAAGCCCAACCGGTTGATGCTGTTTGGTGAAACAGTCACTGTTTATTGTGAAAACCACACGGAACACACAGATACACTTCCAAATAATATATAAGAATTCATTCCGCACCTCACAGGAAACATATTACGTCTCCGCTACAAAGCTCAACCGTTTAATGATGTTTAGGGAAATAGTCGCTGTTTATTGTGAGAACCATACGGAACACACGAATGCGCTTTGGAAGCAGAATGATGATTTTCAGTGTTTTAAAATCGGTGGTACGTGGGGTTTAAAGGGATACAGACAGCGGGTACATCGAACAAATCACTGATGTTACTTAAACTGAACAGAAATGGAAAACAACATGGATATCTGAGAGAAACGCTTAACGAGAAGTTATTATATCATTATCTTTTTAAGTTTATAGTCAATTAGTCTTCCTCACCTACTTGCAGGAGGTCTGCTGGAGATTTTTCTAAGGCGTGCAGCGAGAGAATATGATTCCCACTTTATGCTTAAGCCCTTTAAGGATATATGGATCTTCCAAAGGTATTCAGGCCGGGAGGATATATTTTTAAATAATAACCACCCTAACATTCGTTGAGAATTCAGCAGAACATCTCAACATGTCTCACATACGCAAACATACTATTAATTTCCGCCGCTTCTTTCCATATACCTCAATCTACAGACCTTTCTTTATTTTCCCACATAATCGCCACTTCTCTGTACACATTTCTCCCAGGGTTCTGGGAGTTTGAAAATTCCCCTTCTGTAAAATTCCGTTCCAGCCATCCGAAGACACTGACGCACTACTTTCTGAATTGCCTCCCTTGTCTCAAAACCTTGTCCACGCAGCTGATCCTTCACAAATCCGAAAAGATGGTAGTCGGAGGGTGCCAGATCAGGGCTATAGGAGGGGTGTGGAAGAACTTCCCACCCCATCTTTGCAATTGCTTCCAATGTGAGGTGAGCTGCTTGGGGACGAGCGTTGTCGTGCAGGATGATGATGTTTCGTCCTGGACAATTATCGCGCAATGCACGACGGAGCTTGTGCAGCGTCTGGACATAACGAGCAGCATTNCAAGTTTTCGGGCTATTGTGTCCACAGTCACACGCCTGTCATCTTGAATGATCTCATCCACTCTTTCCTTGTTGCGTTCAGTTGAGGCTGTTCGAGGACGACCGCTCCGAGGCTCATCTTCGATGCTGGTGTTCCCATTTTTAAAATGTTTCACCCATCTTCGAACACTTCTCGCACCAATGCACACACTTCCATAAGCACGCTGAAGTCTGGCGAATTTCTGCAGCAGGGATTTCCTCTTTCACAAGAAATTCGATGACAGCAGGCTGGCGAAACGACATATCGTTGTCGACCATTTTGTTAGGAGTGATGCTGGTCACGTGATGCAAGCTATTGACGTAACAAGACACTCAAGGTTAACACAACAGCTGGTTCCACCTACCACCATACTCTATTTCGTCTGCTGTTCCCAGGTTGCATGCAAAGAAAAGTTGCTCAAGACTTTCGGTACGACCTACTACGCTTCACATATGCAGTTCAGAATATTGTCAGTACTCACAAAATGGACACGATAGACTGAAAAAGAAGAGATTGAATGCACATGTGTCACCTGCTACGTAAGTTACATGCATTCAACATGTTAATGCTCTACAGTTCATTGCTACAGGCGCCGTCTCACCGATACTTTAGTTTCTATATGTAAAAAAGTAAAAGGTAGAACTATATCTGCAATAGGCCGGGGAGGCCCATAGGGCTGTGAGACGTCGAGGCTTCCACTCTTTCTAGACAATCGGCTCACAGATGGCGGTGACGTTGCCAGCCTTACGCGCTTGTGCCCTTTACCTCCAGGAGGACTCCTGGGACTCATTCTGTTAGAGGCTGAGTCGACCGAGTCCATAGTGCGGCTGGAAGGATTAGGTCAATTGAAAAAAAAAACAATTATCTCATCAGGAATCGAACCCGCGACCTTTCGGCTTGTAGCATTGTGCCTCAACCAACTACGCTACAGTGGACCGACTTTTTATGTGTACAGAAGAATAATTTTTGGTATTAATATTTGGCATATGATATTCGTTTTGTCAGTTTTGATTCTTTTCAAAATCGAGGAGGGTGGTGGCCAGATGCGCTCCCCCCCCCCACACTTGGGCTGATGGCTGCGTGATAGATCGATCCTGTANAGCAGTTACGTGAAGATGAAGTTAAATTTAAAGAATATTTCCGAATGAATGGGGTTGATGAAAATATTTTAAGTTCTTCACTTATAGATAAAAGAACAATGTACATTACCTGGTGTATTCAATTCTCCAGAAATCATGTCCCAGGCATTATCCCGCATGTTCTGGTTCCGATATTCTTCTAACTCTTGGTTCCACAAACATGGACACTTCCTTACTTCTTCAATTAATTCCTCCAGTGTCATTTTCATCTAAGCGAATACTGCGCTGAATGATACGTAACATGTGTTGTAATCAGAGTGGGAAATTGATGAGGCGCGCAGCTGACACCTGGAAGCGAGCCCAGTGCGCATGCCCGTCCAGTGCGACGTTTTAAAATTATAGCCGAGAATCAAACACTCTGCGACGCAGCTAACATAGCGAACATAGCGTACGTAGCGTACGAAAGTCTGTGTGGCCAGTCACATTGGCAATAAAGGGAGATATTTTTCTGTTCGTATAGCGAACATAGCGTACGTAGCGTGCGTCGCGTACGTAGCGCTCTGTGTGGCCGCACCTTTAGGCTGTTAGTGATTTCTGTCTGATAGCTTCTTATATGGGGGCCCGCAGGAGAGGGGGGCAAGCCAGCCCCTCTCTCCTGGATTGTTTTGAAGCATCGAAATTGGAAGAAGCAAGGAATTACATGACATTTACAGTTAAAGTGTAAAAAGGGTAAAGCTATCTGTTGGAACAGGTCATGGAGGCCCATAGCGTTGTGAGACGTGGAGTCTCCCACATTTTCTCGAGTATCGGTTCGCAGATTCCTGGTTCTCATTTCTGTTAGAGGCTGAGTCGACCCCAAGGCCATAGCGTGGCTGGAAGGATAATGAAAACTGAAGAAATCTAATGACCTAATTGGGACTCAAACCCGCGACCTGCTGGCTTGTATCATAGTGCCTCAACCAGCTACGCTACCTCCTCCACTAAAGATTGCAGTTATTTGGAAGGAATTTTTCCGACACTCATCTTTCCATACAGAGACACACAGTTGCATTTTCTTACTACCCGTGAGGAGCACACACCTGCTCCTTCAAGGCACTTATCATTTTCATAAGAGAACTGTTATAAAACCCGTTGAATTTTCAACGGGAAATTGTAACTGTTATAAATACATTTATTTGCATTCGAGGTTCTTAACAGCGGTGATTATGTTCGCATTGGAAAGTAACGCCGTATAGTATGATAGAAGTTTATCGATTTTTCGGAGGAACATATTGCCTCCGTCTTCAGGGCCGAAGAGCAAGCCAAACAGGTAACCAGCGAGAGTTCTGTTTGAAGCCTACTTATAGCTGCTTGTTTGTGTGACTTACTGTTCGATCGTGAAGATGGAGGCAATACGTTCCTCCGAAATGTTAAGTGAACTTCCCCGTTCCACACGGCGTCACAACCCACAAGGTCCATACTTGGGCACAGTCTACACGCCTCAATCAAATTGCCTCAAACTGACACGCTTTGTACCTCCACTCGGGAGGTATCCGGGTCGAATCTCGGTTGATATACAGACTGTCCTGCCAGAGGTTTCTTACGGTAACCATCGCGCCCTCGAGGCAAATTCCGGGTCAGTACCGGAAATGAGGCCACTAATGCTTCCGTTCATTTCGCTTCCTGTCACTGTTTATTAATACACATTCAACGATATAACTTCTGAATTACTGTCGTTAAATAAAGGACAGATAAATTGATATACTCTTTAAAATCAAGATTTCACTGAATCTAGAAGATGTGGACTCGGAGAAGTTCCGGATGATACTGAACCTCCAGAGTGATTCTACATTATTGTCGGTGTTTCCGTGACCTGTAATTTTCAAACCAATAAGAACAAAATAAAACTGCCTACGGAGTATGAAACTGTTTTAAAAAAGTTTTATTTAGAAACGCTATACTCCCCGCATTGCTGTCTGGAAGAAAATATGAAGTCATACCTCAAAATTGCGATTGTGCGTACTTTGGTTTTTAGATACAAAGTCCGTTATCAAAACGCAGCGTCGTTACAGAACTCAATATGGAAAGGATCTACCTTCAGATAATGTTATCGGATGTTGGTTAAAGCAGTTTCAAGAGACCGGTAATGTTCTGTACCGAAAAGGAGCGGGAAGGCCGAGCACTTCGCAGGAAGTTGTTGATCGAATGCAATAAGCTCGGACAGTGCTACGAAAAGCGTGCGTGTTGAAGTTGTTTAACATTATGCAGCATTGATTCTATAAATAACAACATTTTTTAATACACTTTAATATTGCATAAGCAGTTCTGTTTTATTTCTTCCGGTATGAATATTATAGGCCACGGATATCCCGACCATAATGTAGACTCACTCTGTATAACATATGCACTCACGCGGTTCTGCTGTCTGGAGGTGCGCTGTGAACGTTTCTCAGCGAAGAAGGATAATGCAATAGCGTCGTACTTTCCGATTACGTTTAGTGATCATATCTCCCGCTCCTGTCCGTAAAGAGTACCAATTCTGAGTACTAGCTTTTCGTATATGCCCATTTAAGCCATACGACCTGCAGCCCCTACTCTACCAAATCCGCTGCGTATTTTATTTACAACTGTCGGTTCCAAAGTCACGGAGCCTATATGGACACAGATTCTGCAGTCGGTTATAAACCATGACGCTTGCTGCTTATGGACGTAACCGTGGCGGTAGGTTCACAGATTCATACAAGATGAAGCGCTTACCTGTTTCTGGCTGCTTGTGGTACCGCTATGAGCCAGCGACTGAACTGTGGCTCTCAGGCGATCCCCGTGTATATAGCTGGCCTACATCCTCGGGGAAAGAACTCGTCTAACCTACATTCCCCTCTCTCCTTTACCCTGTGCCTCTGTCTCTTTCTCTCGAAAACACACACAGGTGTGCCGGCCCTACATTGAGCATTCCGTACCCATCAGCACACGCGTTTATATCCTTAACGAGTCCCCATATTAGAAATGGAAATCAAGGTTGCTTTTAAGTCATTTGAATCACACTGGTAAATATATGTACCCCCTTCTTTAATATTCAAGAACTGTTCAATTTTGTTCTCTCTCCAGAGAGTTTGCTTACGGTTTTCATGTGATTCTCGCAATAAACAGCGATTATTGTTTTCTTAGCAGAATTAACACTGGACAAGAAGTGCTTTCTGTGAGGGAGGAGCTGCACGGGAAGTGCCCTAGGTTAGTCATCTGTTTTGTTTGCGAAACCTGAACTTATATGGAGCCGAGCTCTACCTGAGAAGCCACGAATTCTGCAGCTATTTAAGAATTTCCCAGCATTTTATAGAACTACAGGTTCATTACCGTGTTCACAGAACCCCTCCAGTGGTGCCTGTCCTGAGCCAGATCAATTCAATTCATACCTTCCCATCCTGTATCATCCAAGATCCATCTTAATATTATCCACCTACTTATGCTTTGGTCTTCCCAGTGGTCTCGTTCCTTCTGGCTGTCCCATCAGTATCCTATATGCATTCCTCTTCTCGTTATTCGCGCTACATGCCCTGCCCACCTCATCTTTGACTTGATCATTCTAATTATACTTAGAGAAGAGTACAAGTTATGATGCTCCTCATTATGCAGTTTTCTCCAACCTCCTGTCACTTCATCTCTCTTTGGTCCTAATATTCTCAACAACCTGTTCTCAAACACCCTCAGTCTATGTTCCTCCCTTAATGTCAGCGACCAAGTTTCGCACCCATACAGAACCACCGACAAACTTGTAGTTTTGTATATTCTAATTTTTATGTTTTGAACAGCAGACGAGAAGACAAAAGGCTCTGGACCGAATGGTAGCAAGCATTACCCGAGTTCAATCTCCTCTTAATATCCCCCAGAATCAAATTTCCATCCTCCTTCGTCCCCATGAGTGCTACATGCCCTGGAGCTTACCAGAAACAGTCGCGTCAGGGTCATAAGGACATATCCTGCAATGACAGATGTTTGGCCAGAACAGAAACACGAATAAGGCGGCTGTGTGGAAGCTGCTGATCGAAACTCTCTTAAAATACATAAGAATCTGAGTGACTTTCATAACGGAAAGAGGAGGCAAGGTATGGAATACCTAAGAAGACAAGAATGAAGACAACTAACACAGCGAAAAAAAGACAGAAGAAAGACAAATACATGAATCAAATTAAAAGGTAGAACTTATACATTTAAGCCTATTAACGTAAGGTAAAAAGTAAGGCGCCGTGGAGGCACATAGGGTTGTGAGCCGTCGAGGCTCCCACATTTTCTAGACAGTCGGCTCACAGATGGCGGTGAGGTTGTCAGCATTATGCGCCGTTCGCACCTTTCCCCCAGGAAGATTCCGGGTACTCATTTCAGTTAGAGGCTGAGTCGGCCTCAGGGCCATAGCGCGGCTGGAAGGATTAGGTCAACTGAAAAATCCAATGAGCTCGTTGGGAATCGAACCCGTGACCTGCCGGCTTGTAGCATAGTGCCTCAGCGTGATATAATCAAAGAAGACACGACAGTGGCACAAATACCGTTCGCATCTTCTGACTGGCAAGGAAACCAGGAAGCTGTTAATGTTGGGGCCAGATCTGATGTCTCATGGCACTTGAAGCGACAATAAGAGCTAGATCAGACTTCAAAGGTAACAAGTAGCGGAGATCCTCACCCATAGGGCAATGCATCTCAGAGTTCCGAACAAGCTGTTTCCCCTTGGCCCATGCCACGTGAACACTCTGCTCTGACCATCAGTAGAGAGTGAGTTTGGCCTATTTACCTTCGATCGTCTGGAGAACCTTCTGTAAACCACGAAATACTTCACACTGTGTGAGCGGCATTCGAGCGGGGTAAACAGATAAAGGTGTCCCTGTAACAGGTGGTGGAGGCCCATGATCTTGTGAGACGTCGAGGCTTCCACAGTTGGCTCACAGATGGCGGCGGAATTGTCAGCTTTACGCACCGGCTGCCGTTTAACCCCCCCATTTATGTTAAAGAGTATGGCTCTATTAGAACCATGATGCTGCTGGAAATATTAGGTCAATTGAAAAAAATCAAATGACCTAATTGGGAATCGAACCTGCGACATTCGTCCTTGTAGCACAGTGTACGACACGATAAGAAACGTAATGTATTGCTGCCCGTGAAGAGTCGCGATAGCTGAGTCCGTATAGCGGGTGACCGCTGTTAGATTCTCGGCAGGTGCAAGATACTTTTCTCCACAGCATCCACACCGACTCTGGGGTTCACCCAGCCTCCTATTCAGTGTGCAACTGTGCCTCTTTCCCTGGGGACTAACGCGGCAGGCGTGTAGGGCCTACCACTCACCTTCATCTGGCGCTCAGGTCAAGGATCGTGGGACTGACTGTACCTGCTACCCCACACATCTTCATGGCGTGGTGCTTAATTTATTAAGCATAGGGCATTGGATTTTTTCAATTTACGTAATCCTTCTAGCCGCACTATGGCCCTGGGGTTCACTCAGCCTCTAACCGAAATGAGTACCAGGAATTATTTAAATAATTTTCCTGGGAAGTAAAGCGCGGCCGGCGCGTAAGGCTGACAACCTTACCACCATCTTTGACCCGATTGTCTAGATAATGTGGGACCCTCAACGTCTCACAACACTATGGGCCTTCACGGCCTGGTACAGGGATAGCTTTACTTTTACTCTACTTTGCAAGGGTAACTTTACCTTACTTCACTTAGAAGGTCCAAGATAACACACTTGGTATTGTGACTGAGGTTCAGGCAGGACGACCGGAGAATTGGGGCATGAGATTACTTCCTCACCCTTGCAGTCACCGCCACAACTACGAGTATATTGTTACATAGTTTCTGTGACTGTAACCGGGGCTTGGATTGGTAACCTGATTTATTCTAAAATTCCTGTAGCCATTGCAATTTGGCTTCTTTTCTTTGGTCTAATAATTTTGAGCATTCTTCATCGAACCATGGCTTATGCTTTTTCGGTTCATAATAACCTAGACCCTCCTTGACAAAAGTTTTTATATTCTCTCTAATAGTTTCCCAAGCTTTATTAACATCTTCTTCAGTATCTAAGTTTTCCAAAGCTGTTTGAGATTTCAACACAATACTGCTCTTTACCCTCTACCTCATTTAATTTCTTGAGATTGAACCTCTCCATGTGAACTCTGTGTGTTGTTTGTTTGCTCACTGCCAGTGCCACCTTTGCCACCACCTGGTAGTGGTCATTATCACAATCTGCTGCTCTGAATGATCGGACATCAAGTATATTGAGTGCCGTCTCCTATGTATCAAAATATGGTCTGTTTGATTGTGTATCTTCCCATCAGGAGATGTCCAAGTAAAGTTATGGATGTTACGTTGCGGGAACCTTGTACTTTTGATAGTAAGATTTTTTGATGTGGCAAAGTTTACGACTCTAACTCCATTATCATTACTAATTTCATGCAATCTCTCATTCGCAATTGTTGGTTTGAAAATGTGTTCCCTGCCTACTTGGGCATTGAAATCTCCTAACAAAATTTTGATAGGGTACTTCGGGAATTATCAAGCACCTGTACTAGTTCTTCATAGAATCTGTCCTTTATGTCATGAATTTTATCTTCTGTTGGGGCGTGAACATTCATAACGATGATATCACACCAGCGACCTTTTAGTATTATATATGATATCCTATCACTAACGAACTCTACCCTCTTAACTGCTGATACGATTCTCTTATGTATGAAAAAACCTGTACCTTATTCATGACTTTCATTCTCCTTTCCATAGAAAAATGTATAGTCTCCTGCTGGTGCGATGACATCCCGTCCCATCTGACCTCCTGTACTCCCACTAAATCTAACTTATATTTTAAGACTTCTTCTGCCACTGCCCTGAGCGACCCTGTATAGGGCAGATTCGCACTCAGTATATATTAGAGTTAATACAGTCGCCTTTAATTTTAGTTAAACTGAAAAAATCGTCGTTAATGTGAGATAAATTGTTTACATTCGCCCTTAATGTAACCTCGACCAAGTCATACTTATTATGATTTAAACTGAATACAGTCACCCTTAACGTCTGTAAAACTGATGCTTTGGTAATAACCGTAGAATTGAAATGTGTTGCCAGTTTCTTAAGAATTTCTGTAAGGATTGAAGAAAATGAAAATAAACGTTCGTCAGACTTGCATAATCCAAGATGCAAAATATGTGTCGGATCAAGTGAAGTTGTGGAGCCTTCTTCCGCGACTCAGGGAGCAGATCCATTTAACTGTATGTAAGGTGGCCGTCTGTGCATAGTTACGTTTCTTATCTCTGACGCTTATGAATAATATGACGGTTAATTGCAAAGCTTGGATGTAAACGGTAATAATGTAATGAAGAGAGTAATCCCGTAATTCGAGTGCAGCGACTGAATAAAACTGCGGTAGCCATTTTTCACTTGTTCTAGCAGGGTGGCTCTCAGATCCTCCGCGTGTCCTAAGTAACGTTGACTAGCAATGGCAGTCAGTATAGAATTTTGTATCGCTATATTTAGAGGCAAAGCCGATCACAGTGGACGCACGGTCTAAGGTATGAACTGTCTTCGCCCACTCGAACACTGGGAGTCTGAGTTCGAATCCCATTCGAGACATGGATGTCTGTGTGCGTTTATTCTGTGTGTAGGTAGCGGCGTTGCGACGAGCTGATCCCCCGTCCAAGGAGTCCTACAGATTGTGTATAGATTAAGAAACTGAAAAAGTGGCCAAGGTCCAAAAGGCTGTAGAGCCGTGGAGAGAAAAGTAATATATAAAGGTAATGTTATCCCTTTGCAGTGTCATTAAGACGTATGAGGGAGTGTAGGTATAGCTCCTCAATTCTTG